ACATGTGTCATGAAATGTCCACAAAGATGAGAAGAGGGCATTGGAGCCCCTGGAACTGGAGTTAGGGATGGCTGTTGACTGCCACGTGGGTGCTGGGAATCAAAGCCAGGTCCTTTTCAAGAGCAGCTAGTGCTCTTAACCGCTGAACCATTTTTCCACCCCCTCTGGGATCATTTTAAGAAGGAATTTTACAGGCTGATCTCTGCAACTAACAGAGATTTTAGAAACAGAGGTATAAGGGTTTGAATAAAAGACAAAAGCAGGACAGATAGGAACATGAATTCACTAAAATGTTAGCCTTATAAACACACTGGGCTAGCAAACAAAAAAATGTTCTACAGAAAACAAAATGAGCTTTCTACTTTCAAACAAGTAGAATGCAAAATATTCTACTTTCAAACAAAAACAACAAAAAACCTACAGAAAACAAAAAGGTTTTAGAATTGTTTCTCATAAATATACCACATTTGATCAGCGGCTATTTACAAAACACTACCAAAGTCTTTTTTGAGGTCTCTTCAATATTTTTCACTCAAACTATCATGTATGCTTATGAACAGAGAAGGCATGAATTGAAGATAGCTTAAACAATCAAATCAAAAGTCTAAAGATTTTCAAAGATCTTAAATTCATAGTAGTTTAACAAAATAAAATTTAATGAACCTATCTCAAAAAAAAATCCCCTATAATTTCAAGTTCTGTAGCATACAATATGCTTGTGTAGGCAGAGAAACTTATATAAGTCTGCCCAAAGAACTATTAAGAATTATTATCTTTATGGAATTGAACTAAGAGGTTCAAGGCTGGGAAACAGAGCTTTAATTTCACTTCGTATATTTTGGCATTTAACTGTTATTTGTTTTTTAAATCACAAGTTCAAAGTCATTCTTGGATAAATATGAGTTTGAGTTCAACATGGGCTACATGGCACTGTCTCAAAAAGCAAAAAATAAAATAAAGTGAATAGATGGTAAATATAATAGGAAAACAATTCACAATGACAAAGCATATCAGAAATTAAAAACTATTTATGAAGTCTATTACTTATAAGTATCAAAAGGTAGAAAGAAAAAATAATCAGTCTACTTTTATGGTTGCTAAAGGGCCTGTGTGATTAAAAAAAAAAATCCATTGACATATCATTGATTTTTTTTAACTGATTTTTTTTTTTTTTTTGGTGAAAATTATCTTAACATGATCTATCTATCAATTCTAACCCCAAATCAAGCATTAAACTTCACTGGGAGAAAGCTAAAAGCACTCTCATCTATATTAGGTACAAGCATTAAGATGTCCATTACTACAAGTTAGCATGGGTTACAATGCACTGATATCCAAAAAAAGGAAATAGAAAGCAACGAAGTACATATGAACACTAAAGATATTAAAATCATTGCTGACATGGTGGCACACAATTTTAATCCCAAAACTAGGGAGGCAGAGGCAGGTGGATCATTGTGAGAATTAAGGCCATCTTGGAATGGTCTACATAGTGAGTTCCAGGCTACCTGGGGCTAAATAGTGAGACCCTGTCTCAGAAACAAACCAACAAAAAAGATGATATAACCATGTCTTTGAAAAGACCAAAGGAATCAACTAAGATGTCGTTTCAAATCTTACAACAATTCAGTATGGTGACTCAAGAACAAAACTAATAGAGGGCGGACAAGATGGCTCAGCAAAGAAAGGTGCTTGCCATACCAGCCTGACAATCCCAGTTTGAACCCCTGGAACCCACATAAAGGTGGAAGGAGAGAGCTAACTCCACAAAGTTGTCCTTTGACCTCTATGGATACTATGGCATGTTCCTATCCCCATCATACATATTAGGGTTCCAAACAGCAGCAGCTTCCCCCACTCCCCAACAGGGACCTACAGACTTTGGAGCCCGAAAAAGGGAACTGAGCTGATAAGCACCTTGACCTTTGAAGTCAAGGGAAACAAACTCTGCTGAGAAGCAGCCTGCCTTTCCTCTGATCTCCAAAGATAAGATAAGCAGATTCTACCTGTTAACCAGAGATTTTAGAAGTTGTTTATCACAACAGCTTTTCTCTTATCTTAAGAGGGAAAAAATAAACACTTCCAGACCCTAATCCTACCTGCTTTTCCTGCTTCCCCCCCCCCGATTTTTCCCCCCAACATTCCCCCTTTCTACACCCTAAAGCCCCCATATATAAAGTCCCAGCTCACATCCCGTGGGCTGACATCTTTCCCTTCCCTTCCCTGACATCTTTCCCTTCCCCGAGGGAAACGTGTCCCATGCGAAATAAAGCTGTATCCCGCTGAGAATTCTATCTGTGCCTCGCTGCCTCATCCATCCGCACCCGCTCTCTCTCTCCAACATTTTTATCTATCAATACACACACCTCAATAGTAAGTAAAATAATTTTTAAAAGAGAAATGCAAGACAGATATGTATAAACACACATACATATATGCTAGTATTTAGAAAATATGATGAAAAAGTCACCATTTACATAAGAAAACCTAGTGATAAAGTTAATAAATCTATACAAAGTTTGAGATCTATACATGAAGGAAATATTAAAACTTTCCTTGGGAATACTCAAGATCACAGGACAAATACTATAATCTTGCCAAATTATATAATAATCCTAAATTATTATATTCTTTGAATTTTAAGCAATCACAGTGAAATTACAAGAGAAAAAATTATGGGTGGGTGATGATACAAAAACTTTAAATTTCACACAAGGAAACAGGTAACCAAAAATAACCAAGACATTATTGAAGAAAAAATAAGTACCATGCAAGGAATTACTTACTAATGTATATAAGAAATACCAAAACTTAAAACAGAGGTACTGAATACAAAAACAGAACAAGACAAGACATTCTAAAACACAACTCTTAAAGTATGTCACAAAATCCATATTTGCTTTATAATTTTTAAAACTGATTACACAGGCATTCATGCATACACATGTACAGTAAACAACCAATTGTTGAGAAAAAAAAGTGTTCATTTTTAACTGGAAAAAATAACTGCCACAAATCAATAAAAAAGTAATTAAGCCCATGAACAGACAATTTACATAAATGGAAATACAAAGGATCTTTAATATAAAACTGTGTTAAATCTTGCTTGCAACAAAAGAACTACAACTATACTAACACACTCTTCTCATTATCGAATGGCAGAAAGGCAAAATGGTTAATAAAACACTATGGAAAAACTTACCAGGGAAACAAAAGTTTTATACATTAGTGGTGGGGGAAAACAGTTGGTACCACATCTCTAAAGACTACTTAGGAAATTCATCAAAATTATAAAAGCTATCATTTTACCCAGCAATTCTACTTCAAGGAGCTGACCCCAGATATATGCTTTATGAAAGTTTAAGCCAAATATATACAATGTTATTGCTGCATTATTTAATGTAAAAGAAAATTTGGGTTTTAAAAAATTTTTTTTTGAATTTTTGTGTATTTCATACATAAAATCATCTTTATACCCCCTTCCCTTTGGCACCCTCCCATTGTCACCCCCGCTCCCATTGGCATTCGTATATTCTGTTATTTGTGTTAAGGCCTATCATGTAAAGTTAATGATCCCAGATGTCCTTCAGTGCAGTTCATCCAGTGGGATCTAGTCAGCCTATCTACAGTGCCTCCCTTTAAGGAGATCAGCTCTTCCTCACCCAGCAGTAATCAACTGCCAATAATTCTTCACCTAAGATTGAGGCAAACTACACGTCACCCAGTAGAAGCTTTACTAAATAAACAATAAAACATCTATAGAGCAGCAACACTGCTGACCCTTGGAAGGAATTTCAAAACATAAGGAATGAAAGCAACAGCAGTGAGGAATGGCAAGATTTGTGTCAAAACACACATGCACACTTACATACAGACAAGCATTTTTGCTTGTATTTACATTATGCATGTATCAGGAAGAATACAAGAAAAATGTAAATAGATTAGTAATATATACTTGCTTCTATACATACAAGCTGAGGCATAGAGAAGTGACCAGTGTGGGTGGAAAGATAAATATCACTAAAATTTTAAAACAATAAATCAGCATCCACTAACAAAATTTAGAGTGATCAAAATTTTATAATTACAAAAAGCAAATGAAATGTAAATATAAACTGAAAACACAGAACATGATCTACTGTACATAAAAAGTTGGATCTTAATGAAGTCCAGCAAAGAAAGTTATTCCTTGACAACTAGGAAAATGTCAAATAATGCCAATCTATCATTTGAGCAGAAATGCATCATAAATAACATGTCTTATAACTGTTACCACCCTCAAAAGCACCCTTTAGAAAAGCTAAAAATGGGAAAATTATTAGTAGGTTTTAGTCCAAATTAGCCTGTTTCCAATAATTATGGTCAAGGAGGCAAGCAAGCCCTCCTTCCTCTGCCGCATTACTATGTCACCAACAGTGGTGCAACAGAGCATGTTTTCTTAACGCCCTTGCAGGACCACGTGTGCATTATATGCTGATTAGAGTAGCGTGCTAATTGTCACCTAATTAATCAAAGATGGTCCATGTGCTAGGCTAATTTGTTGCTGTTCCAGTTAAAGAGAATAGAGGTTTATCTGGCCAAACGCCATGGCAGTTTATAAGACATTTTTCAGAAACAACATGAGAAATATTGCTGAAAGGGCCTCAGACTGTTGAGCTCAACTTTTTTTTTGTCTTTTTGAGACAGGGTCTCCCTGTAGGTCCAGCTGCCTGGAACTCACTCTGTAGACCAGGCTGGCCTTGAATTCACAGAGGATCCACCTGTCTCTGCCTCCCAAGTGCTGGGATTAAAGGTGTATGCTACCACGCCCGGCGAGCTCAACATTTTAAATGCACAGCAGTTTTAACAATCTACCTACTGCAACAATAGTTCCAATTACTCCTTGCAAAAATCTAAACAGAAGACCAGGAAAGGAGCTGCCACTGTAATCAGGCCTAACAGTGGTAGGGACAAGGAAGCACATAGAGGAGGCCCACTGTGCACAGACACCTGCACCTCACCTTCTTCTGAAGAACATTAACCTTCCGTTCCTTCACGTCCAGCATGTCCTTGAGGTCATGTATCTCTCCAGCTTGTGTCCCCTTTTCCTCAGCCATGTCTTGAATTTGTTTTGTTTTTTTGTTCAGCATGGTTTCCTTCTCTTCCAAACGCAATCGGAGAGCATCCACCTATGAATAAGATTTACAACATGATGAATAGAATGGAAAGGAGAGAAGAGAAGAAAGTGAAAAGGAAAGAAAATAATTTAAGTAAGGCTGCCCATATTTTAAAGATTATAAAACTAGGATTTAGTAGAGTTAAATAACTTTTACAAATAGTACAATAAGTAGAAAATAAAATCACTGGAACTTAAAGACTGCAAAGGAAACAAACTTTTACCATATACCAAAGGATACCAAATAAAAATAACAGAGGTAGTAGCACAGAGGATTCTATAGACTTTCTCTGAATACTATGTCAGTTAGAAAGACTGTTGGGAAAAGTAATGTTCAAATGTCTTTGTTGTTATTGTTTGTTTGGTTGGTTTAGTTTTATTAAGCCAGGATCTCCCATTAGCCCCAGGGGGTCTGGAACTTTTTACTATGTAGACCAAGCTGGCCTAAATCTCACAGATCTGCCCACCTCCGTCTTACAAGTACTGGGATTAAATGCATGCACCACACCCAGCTTGAATTGATTTGGAGATGACAAATAGGACCTTACTAGTTATGAAACAGAAGGGGAGGGCTTTAGAGAAATATAAGAGAATATTTTAAAACATCTACATAGGACACAGCATGTTTTAATAAATCTTTTCAAAGAAAAAAAAAAAAAAAAAAAAAAAAAAAAAAAAGGCAAGAGGAGTTTAAAATGATAGTGTATTAGAAAGTCCCCAAATGCCAAACAAGGGGTTTGAATTTTATCCTGTATGTAAATGAAAGTCAGTGAAGACTTTTAAGCAAAAGATAGTCATAGTCATATTTGTCTCAGAGAAATTATATTAGTCACTGGGGACACAAAGACAAGTATAGCAGAACTTACAACCTAATGGAGAAAAGAGGAGCATCAGAAAGCGCACACGTATTTTATAGAGAATGCTGCAACTGAAGCAGAGTATTTTCTAAACATGCAGAACGGGCTGGAAAGATTGCTCAATAGGTTGTGCTCGTCACCAAGCCTGACAATCTGAGCTCAGGCCCCAGAACACACATTAGAAGGAGAGAACCAACTCTTGCAAGTTGTCCTCTAACCTACATACATAAGCCCACACAAATATACTGAATAAAGTTAAAAATTAAAAATTAAATCTTAAAAAAAAATTTTTAAATTTTATTTTATGTGTATGTATATACTGCCTGCATGAAGTAAGTAAACCCGTGTCGTGCAGTGCCATGGAGGTCAGAAGAGGGTGTTGAATCCCCTGGAACTGGAGTTATGGATGGTTGTTAGCTGCCATGTGAATGCTGGGAACCGAACCCAGGTCCTCTGCAAGAGCAGTCAGTGCTCTTAACTGCTGAGCCATCGCTCTAGCCTCTCAGCAAAAAAACTAATTTTTAAAGTGTGAAATAACTCAATTTACAGATCTACAACTGGATGCCAGAAAAGCCTGGACAACATAGGAAGGATAAGCAGAGAGAGCTGGGAGGAAGATCATGGAGAACACTTTGAGTGGAGGTATCATAAATCATGTGGAATAGACATTAACTTCTCAAGAAACTAACACAGAACTGCTTCAAACAAGACTAGATGGGAAATTATAGGAGGGGAGGCTACCAAGGTCCTCATCAGTTTAGGAGCTTGAATAGTATTGCCTATAAAAGAGGAAAATTGAAAGACAAGAACCAAAGATAAGCTTTCACCTTTATGATGACGAAGACTGAAGAGTTTGACTTTGGGGAGAAAGCAAGAATCTTATGCCTTGTTCTAAATTTCTGGCATGCACTGTATCTTATAAGCCTCCCAGACTATAACTGGCACACATGGAAATGACCTTAAAATACACCCAACGTGCTTTAAGTCCTGAACACTTGACTTCTTTAGTTTCTTAAAAATGCCAGAATAGCCAGGCATGGTGGCACACGCCTTTAATCCCAGCACTTTCGAGGCAGAGGCAGGTGGATCTCTATGAGTTCAAGGCCAGCCTGGTCTACATAGTGAGTTCCAGGACAGCTGGGGCTACAGGGAGACCCTGTCTCAAAAAGACCGAAAAAAAAAATTTACCAGAATAAAATACCACACACTGGGTAGCTTAAAAGAAACTACTTTTCACCTCTGGAGGCTAAAATTCTGAAGAGTCCAGGTATCAGCAAGACTAAACTCTCACTGAGGGCTACAGCTCTTTCTTTTCTCTCCCTATGGCCTGATGGCCCCAAGCAATCCTCAGCTTAGATCCATTCTCAACAGAGTTTGTCTAAATATGGTCATAATCTGAGGCTTTGGGTCGCTATGAATTTATGGAGATATTAAATTACTAAACTACTAAATTTACTATACCTACTGCTACAAAATACTCCAAAATGCTGAAGTATAACAAACTTCTTTTTAAATTAGATGAGCATGCATATGCGCACATATAGAGACACAACACCAAATTCTCTAAATGCTGAATAAGATGAGATCAGAGGTCCACCATAGCCTGTTCACTCACATTGGAAGTTATGCCATTCCTTTGTTTATTCCTTTACTTATTTCTGTGACCTATTGGACAGGGTTTTGGAGAAGTCTGAGGAGACAAAAAAAAAAAAAGTATCTCACGGCAGAAAAAAAAAGAAATAAAATAAGGCTAGACCACAAAACAAACTCCCAAGCTCAGACTGCTCTGTTCTGGGAGATCCTCGGGCATCTCAGGGCTTAGAACAGTTCCTGGAAAAAGCTGACCACAGGGCTTCTCAATACTCCTCAGTTACTAATCACCTAAGGAGCTTTTATAAGTTAGACCTGTCAATATTTACTAAACTCAGAATAGAAACAAAACAGTTTTAGGGTTGAGGGGTGGCTCAGTTGGTAGAGTGTGTGCCTAGCATGGAGGAAGCCCTAGGTTCAATCCACAGCACCACATTGAGCAGTCTAATTTCCTCCAGGGTGAAACATTCCATCCCAGAGAAAAGCAGCCTTAAGACTCAGGAAATCTAAAAGGAGGCTCATGGGATTCAGGAAGTAAACAAACTTCAAATGTTTGGGAAAGCTAAAGCTTAACAAGATGCACAGTCCCTTCCCCACAGTTAGAGAAGCAGTAAACAACTGAGGGAGGACAGTCTGACCAGGGGAACTGCACAGAAGAGCCTCTGAGCAGACAGGCTGCCTGAAGAAGGGCTTCAGCCTACAAGGCTGCCGCCAAGCCCTACAGAAACCTTGGAGTTGCAGCTTTTGAGTTGGCATAGGCTTTTCCAGCTTCTCTGCTACCTTTGAGTCATTCCTGCTCCTGTAAGTACCCCACACCCACACTCCAGATAAGAAACCCCAATAAACTCACTGAGTCACCAACTCGATCTTTGGTAGAATCATTACTTTGGTCTGTCATCAGTTCCCTCTCTAGGATGAATGGAAGTTTTGTTACATATGTGGTGCATCTCCCCAGGAAAAGTGTCACAATACACACATAGGCCAGAAATGCTGGCACACTCCTGTGATCCCAGTACTCCAGAGATGGAGGCAAGAAGATATTTATTAGCTTAAAATAGCAAGTTCAGCTAGGTATGGTGTCACACACCTGTAGTCCCAGGGAGGCAGAAGCAAACGGATCTCTGTGAGTTCAAGGCCAGCCTGGTCAACATAGTAAGTTCCAGAACAGCTGGGGCTACAGGGAAACCCTGCTTCAAAAAGACCAAAAAAAAAAAGCAAGTCCATTATATAAGCAAAATAACTATGAAAAAAAAACCCTCTTCAGTTTTCCTAAAGAAATATATAAATGAGTAACATTACTTATTTAAAATTTTCAAATCTTTTTAACAACTATAACGGGCAGGAAGGATTAATTTAAGACTAAATGCACTTTTTATACTATCTAACAAAGCTTAAAAGAAATATTTGAAAGAACTAAACCCTTTCCAGGTAATTTATCCACATCACAAAATAAAATTCAATAGGATAATGTTGAAGGCTAATATATAAACACCATTTACTAACATATACGATTTAAAGAAAAGACAAACCACAGATAAGGAAAATATTTAGAAATCATAATTTTATTTTATACCATGTCTATCCATAATATATACACAGCCCTCAAAACTCAAGAACACAAAAATTTTTAATATGAGAAGATATAAATGGGTATTTTCCTATAGAACATAAAGGGATGGTGTTATCAGTTACTGTCTCTTAGCTGTGACAAAATATCTACTAAAGGCAAATGAAGAAGGAAGGATTCATTTTGGCTTACATTTTAAGAATGGATAGTCCTCTGGGTGGCAGCAACATGAGACATTTGGTTACTCTGTGTCTATGTTCAGAAAGCAGAGGGCAGAGAGGGATAAGAAGCAGGGCATAACTATAAAACCTCAAGGCCTGCCTCCAGTGACCCACTTCAAAAAGTGATTCACATTCTAAAGTTAACACAATCTTCCAAAACAGTGATAACCACCTAGGAACCAAGTATTCAAACAAAGGAGCCTGTGGGTGATACTTCATGTTCAAACCATAACATCTAACAATCAAGCACATTTTGAAAACAGCCCATGAGCCATCAGTACATAGTATTAAAATGGGTAAAATCTAAAAGGTTTACCAGAGTAGTAACTGACAAGAATATAGAAAAACAAGCTTTTATACACTGATAGTGAAAATGCAAACTGAAACTATTATATAAATAGGATATATTTATTTCCATCTTATAAGTTTTCACAATCTGAGAACAAAACGTCTCTATTCCATCAACATTTCTTTCTCAAATTCCAATGTAAGTGCTAAAAAAATAGCAAATAATATTAATAATAACAAAATAATCTGAGGCACATTGAAAATAATCAAAATAATCGGAACAGCTACTTTAAAAGGTAGTTTGGAAGCTCCTTAGAAAGTTGAACATGCATATATGCATAACAAATGATGTACAAATCCACTCCAAGAGTGAATAACAGTATATACACAAAAACTTGTACATAAGGGTTCACAGTAGCTTTTTTTGTGATAGCAAAAAACTGAGAACTACTCAGATTTCTACTAGATAGCTATTTAAATCCATAGAAAA